TTGGTGATTATTAGGTAGAGCTGGCATTGGATCAGTTAAAATGATTTGTAACTCATTTGTGTTCCTTTTCATACACTTCAGCTTCTTTTGCATTTTTGACCTGTTCTCTCCACTGAGGGTAAATGGTTGCTGTAGAATTTCAACTATCCAACAGGACCAAAACTTCACAAATCCTAATATATATATATATATATATATATATATATATATATATATATATATATATATATGCGTACATACACAGTGAGCCCAAGATGGAAGATGGAGAGGTTCCTCAGGGTGTTTCTCCTACCTTGTTCGGTGCAGACCCATCAAACTCCACCCGTATTTGGGTATGCATCACACAGCTAAATCCCTCAGTCCATTTTAAATGAGCTCAGGCCCAGAGAAGGTGGCAGCATTTCTGGATCCTGTTTATATATAGTTTCTTCTTAGCATTTTTGAATTTTGACTTGCATTTGTGGATGATGTACTGTTTTCATAGAGAGTGTTTTTCAGAAGTGTTTCTGAAATGCAGTGATTTCCACTACAGAATCATACATACATACATACATCATCTAAACCGCTTATCCTTCTGGGTCGCGGTGGGGTGCTGGAGCCTATCCCAGCTGTCATTGGGCGGAAGGCAGGATACACACTACAGAATCATGTCTGTTTTTAATGCAGTGCTGTCTGAGGGCCCAAAGATCACAGCCAGCAAATACTGGTTTTTGGCCTTGTCCCTTTCATACAGAGATTTCTCCAGATTCTCTGAATCTTTTAATGATATTAAGTACCGTAGATGATGATAAACAAAAGTTCTTTTTGTTTTATGTTGAGAAACGTTATTCTTGAATTGTTGCACTATTTGATCATGCAGTCTTTCACAGAGTGGTGAACCCCTCCTCATCTTTACTTCTGAAAGACTCCGCCTCTCTGAGATGCTTTTTTTATACCCAATCATGTTACTGACCTGTTGTTAATCAACCACCAGGTGTTTTTTTAGCATTACACAACTTTACCAGCTTTACCAACTTTTGTTGCCCCCGTCCCAACTTTTTTTGGAACTTGTTGGCATCAAATTCAAAATGGGCATATTTTTTCAAAAAACAATACAATTTCGCAGTTTCAACATTTGATATGTTGTCTTTGTACTATTTGCAATTGAAATATAAGGTTTAAATGATTTGCGCATCATTGCATGTTTTTTTTTTATTTTTTGCACAGCGTCCCAACTTTTTTGGAAATGATGGACTAAAGAAGAGCTATGATATTCCTGTGAATTCACATGTTTGAAAAGTTAATTTCGACCTGTACTTGACTCAGCTGGTTAGTTCCTTGTGCTAAAGTTTAAGCAGACAATCTGTTAAGATAAGTAAATGCACTCATGGCAGCTAATACTTTCCTAATTTTAATGTTGGACGGAAGCATTTAAATTGCTGTGAGGTTTACAAGTTTGAAATTTTATTTGAATGGTTTGGGTAAACCACTTTATTGCAGATAAGACAGTCTGCTATTGGGTGCTAAAGAATTAAAAATTTGTTTTTCTTTAAGTGAACATTGAGCATTGTGTTTTTATGTTAAGAAGCTATTTGTAAAGTACATCATTTCGTTTACTTTATCATCAAACATGCAAGGTTTAGCATTGTATGACACACTTACTGTTGACAAGAGATGGCACAATACCACTTTTTCTTTTCTGATGCTGATATTGAAACCTCAAGTATTAACAAATATTTATCCAAATTCTTTCTTCAATAGCAAGCCTTAAAATGTGCTCTTTTTAATTTAATCACTTTACTTGAGTTGGTCAGCTAACAACATGACATCACACAGTGTGAGTGAGTGCTATTTCAGGGTAGATTTGTTACAGTCAGATTCATTGTTTTACTTCCTCTCATATACCATCCAACACTCTCTGCTGATATAGGCTCAGTACTGATACCCATTATTGCCAAAATGGCAGGTCTTCAGTTCAGCTTCATTGAAATTCTGGTTTAATATCACTAAATGTAACCGCTGTGACTTTGTGGTTGTGTTTATTACAGAGATTAAAGGAAATACCTTAGTGCATTTTCATAAATGTGCTGATAATTCTTGTTTCTTGTTTGTTAGATTTTGCTCTGTAGTCAAACATCATGACAGAATAACAAAGGCTAATGTGTCACTTGAATTAGCCTGGCAGCTAACATGTCAAATATTCTATAATGGCTTTAAATTGGGCTCAGCCAATCAGACTTTATCTGTTTTTTTTTTTCTTTTTCAAAAATGCTGTTTGTCACCACACCTCTGAACAGTTTTATTGGAGACATGTCCTGCACTTTCTTCTCAAATACCCTCAGCTAGGGCCTCGCAAAATCATGCCAAAGAAAAGACATCTCAATCTCTAAGATCATTAATGTCAAACAGACATTGTTGTGCCTTTAGCTATTGCGTGTCCCTGGGCAGTAACACAGGTCATCTATGTGGTAGATTTGGCCATGTCAGTTATGTCACCCCGAAGCCTTGAAAGTTCTCCAATAATCTCCAGGGAGTCAACTTTCAGCAGTTCTATAGTGATGGAAAAACCTAGTTCCTTTACCACAAATCACATTGCCATGTCTGGTAGGATAAATCAGAGGTGGACACAAACAAGCCCTGATAAACATTCCGTATTAAAAGGATGCAAATTTGATTACAGGAGATTATAATTATATGCATTCACCCTGATACTTGGAGACTTCAGTCATGCCCCTACATTGTCAGAAAAAAGGTACTTTCTTGGTATATTTTAAAGGTACAGTCACTTTCATGAGTTAAACTTTTAAAAGAGAAAAATAACTTCAATTGAATAATGTACAATTACATTCCATAACTAAAGGTACTGTATACATACCCCTGAGAATACCAGCCCAGTGAAAGCAAATGTACCCCGAAATGTTTTGTTTACTCAACTGAGATGGCTTTGAACAACAGCAAGAGTTATCCAAACTTTTTATATTATTAACTCTTCAGAAATTGCAGAAAAACAGAAAGAACCGTTGTGCTAAACTTATTCCTGACACTGTTAAGTGTCTCATTTCTTCTAGTGCAGCTTAACCTCTGCTTTGGCTTCAGGGGAGGCATGAAATCACCAAAAAGCCTTGTCCCACTTTATTAGCATATATTGATTAATTATGTTAACCAGCACAGTTTACTTAAAGCACTTACCGTCTGATTATTTGGGGGATTTGTCCAGGTGCAGGGGCAGCATGTCAGTGTCACCATCATCAAGAATAATATACATTGTATAACTTCATTTGTGCATATATTTTGAAGGTTTACCAGATCTGCTGCTGAGTGTAATGGCTTCGTTATTTGGTGATTATTTGTAACTCAAGGGCATAGAATATGATGATGATGTGCTATTTGTTGAGAGGCGTGCGCACCTGCCCAATTTTGGGACAGTTGGTATTTACTCACATACACAATTTATACCAACAAATTTAGTGTTTACTTGGCTTATGTGAATTAAGTTCTTGGGAAAGTTATTTTTACCCAAAATTTGCCAATTTATTTATAAAGATTTCAAAGATTTTATGAATGTAATGAGTTATTTTGCTAATGAGGAAGTTACATGTTACAATTAAGTAAATATTGAATTGAGAATATTACTCTCAATTTCTTCTGCATTAGCTTGACTATCATTATTGTGTAAGTAGCATTTGCCTACCACTGACCAATCAAACACTGTATAGAGCAAAGACTCTCAGAATATTGGATAAATGTTGTATTGTTTCCTAGTTACTTCTGTTTTGCTAACTTAACTCGATGCCTCCCAACATGTTTTGGTATGCAGTTAGCCATGAATCATTTCACTTAAAAGAAAGTAAACATACATGTTGTGTTTTGGCTTTTATAAGCAATTTTAATCACCAATAGCATCAAATTATTACATGATTAGTAACCTGTGTGCAGAAAATCAAAATCACTCAATGTAACTTCATTTCCATGGCAATTATTAGAGTACAGATAAGTAAACAGTAGATACATAGATAGAGATGCACCGACAGAGAGGCATAAAAGTGACACTCATGTGAAATGGCATGAATTATGGGTAACACTTTCTATGAATGTCACATCTGTAAGCATCTATAAACACATTCATAACATGTTATAATGCATTCATAAGGCATTATAAACATGGCTATAAATATTTATAAAAATGCATTACACGTTATAGCCATGCTTATTATGCATTATGAATTGTTAACATAATGCATTATAAGTACTGTTCATAACAAATTATAAGAGCTCATAAGTTGTAATTGTCCGCTGTAAGTAAAGTGAAGCGTACTGTACAGATGTTACAGACTTCAAATGTCAGAGTTTAAACTAGTGCTGCCATCAGTAATGTTTTTGTACATGGTTTGCTGTGATGTAATGTAACATTTACAGTGAGATGCTGGTTAAGAAAAGCACATTATAGAAGTAATTCTAGGCTGGACAGCCTGTTTGGAGCATCTGAATATTCAGGACTGAAGCCCCGAAGATGCAGCCTTAACAGCACCTGCAGTGAGAAACAAAATACTGGAAATCCCAGGGTGTAAATAAACTTTGTGTTTGTCTTTAAACTCTCCAAGCTGGGACTTCTTTGGCACTGACAGTATAACATGTTACTAACACTACTTGTAATGCATTATATTAAGAATTCATAATGTATAATAAACATGGCTGTTAAGTGTAATTCAGTGTAGTTCATTTTTATAAATATTTTTAACCATGTTTATAATGCCTTATTAATGCATTATAACATGTTAGAAATGTATTTATAGATGCTTACAAACATGACATTCATAGAAAGTGTTACCAAATTATGTCGTTAGCATTTCTTTTCTAATTTTAATGTCCATCTCTGAAAAATGACAATATGTATCAAATAGTGAAACATATCGTTACACTCCTAATTTACAATATATAGAAAACATGTAAAGACTTTCAGCAGGAAGTAGCAGGAAATATATATATATATATATATATATATATATATATATATATATATATATATAATTGGTGGTCCCTAGTTTTTATACCGGCTCTAGATGATCTAATACCTTTCATACTTTGTCAGCCGCTTTAACCACTTTACCTTTTTTTGGATGGGCCAAATATTACATTATTGGAAAGGGTTGCTTTAGAATTTCCAGCTTCTCTTGGAATGTAATTTTCCCTTTTTTCAGAGTGTCATAGATCTTGTCCCATGCCTCTATCTCTGAGCGCAACAGAGCTGATCTGGTACGGATGAACTGAGAGTCTTCGCTTGTTTCTTTGTTTGCCAGACTCTTGCTTTCTTTGTAAATGAACCCAATATCCATACCAATGAAGAAGACATTTAGAGTGATAAACCCGGCCCTGGCTGCTTTTGACATTGCCAGAGGAGTGCCCTTAGCCAGCTGACCAATGTCAGGCAGGTCTGCAGCAAGGCTGGGGATGCTGCGAGTTTCACTGGCTTCCTGAAGACCCACACCAACTACCCTCCTAATCACTTTCTCACTTCTGAGAGTTTTCACAGCTGAGGCTCCATCAATGGCATTACAAATTTTTTCAACTAGACTTCTAGTACGGCATAGTATTTTCATATTTTCAAGCTGTATATTAATGTAATCCAGACCCAGATGTGTTCTAGGATGCTCACTACTAGCTGCATTCTCTAGACAATCTAGAACCTTCTGCACATCCTCCATCATTTTTTTAAAGATGTTGTTGGCTTTATTCCTGTGATATGAGTTGACTCCCAATTCAGTAAAACCTGTCACTAAACTGTTGGCTCCGCTGGTGACCCCCAACCCAATCCCACTGATTGTGAGGCCCAAGGACACCCCTGCAGTGACAGGGGCAAGAGCCAGGCCTACGATGGACAAGACACCTCCTACAGCACTCACTGAACTGCCCGCCACAGTGGAGATGCTGGAGCCCTTCTTCATTTTATCCAGCTCTACTGCAGTCCCCTCTAGATCTGACAGGAACTGGAACATGCTGGAGCGACATCCACTGTATGTCTCAAAGAAGTGCTCTGTATTCTCACCAAATAAGTATGTCAGCCTGAATGACTCATCCATTCTGAAAGAAAGGAAATAAGTACTGAACTCAGTGCTGGTTTCAATCTAATAAATGATATATGCAGCTGCTTAGGGCCACCAGAGGACCACCTAACTTATAGTCAATTACTGTATTATATTAGTTAGTTGGCTCAAATGAAGGGAAGAAACACGTTTATTAATGTATCAAAAAAAATACATATCTGGAGCTAAAAAAAAGAAAAGACGAGGAGAAAAAGCAAAATGATAAAGGTATGTTTTTTATGGTGATAACATTCTATGATTTGTTTTGGCTTGTATTTGGACAACAAGAAAAAGTGGATGAGAGGTCTGTCTAACAAAGCAGGTTCAACTTAAGCTACATTCACATTACAAGCCTCATTTCTCAAATCCGATTTGTTGCTCAAATCCGATCTCTCTGACTTGATGGTTCACGCTCGTTTAGGTCAGTGATTCAAATCTGTCATTAATGTGAACGAACCGGCGTCCTGAAATGACCCGCATGAACACATCCTACTCAGTAACGTCACGTGAATGAATCACGTGCATCATCAGCACAAACTAACGAGCAGAACGAGCTTCGCTGAGAAGATAATTAACTCTGATCAGCTCTCAGCTTCATTATTAGAGCGAGACGAAGGTGAAAAAGGTGAGATGAGCTGCTTTTCCACTGTTTACAGGCTTTAACTTCTGTTCGGCGCTGCTGCCATGGTAACGCTTAATGATGGTCACGCGCAGTGGAAAAAAGCACATGAATTCCGATCTGAGCGTCACATTAAGGTCTCATGGCCACGAATCGGATACGTATCCGATCTAGGACCACATATGAAAGTAGCTCAGGTCAGATTTGAAAAGATCAGATTTGTGTGTCCACACAGCTCTGAAAACATCAGATCTGAGTCACATTAGGGAAAAATATCAGATTTGTGCCACTTTAACCTGGTAATGTGAACGTAGCCTTAGACATACTTTCTTACAATGTTTCAGCTTCAGAAATCCCAAGAAACACAGCCATAGTTCATTCATTTACAACAGCGGTAAACAACTTTCTCTGTTAGTCCTACTGTGAAGGTTATCAGTCAGTCAAACTTACTAGAACCCCAGCTCATCATCCAGTCATCAGCAATACACAACTAGCCAGTTCTAACAGCTAGACAGCTATCGATAGTCACTGTTATAATCTGACCTTTTCACAGTAGTTCAGTTTACAAGATGGGGGGGGAGCCCAGACAAATCCTACTTAGCACCCTCAAAAGACTAAGATCTGCACTGCCTGAACTGTTGAGTAGGACAGAGTGTAAATGCAAAACCATCCAACAGGACAGAGACTTCACACATCTTTCAAATAACAACAGTTGTTAAACAGATGAATCTTACCTGATTTTGCTCAGTTGGTTGAAATGGTCAGTCATATTTTCCATGGACCCACTCATATTCCAGCTGAACCTCAGTGAAGGATTTCTGTTTTCCCACATGTAATAAATCAGAAAGCTTAGCTTACGCATATTTTAGGGAATAAGAGAATCACCTTTTTCTAATAAAGTGTCATTTATATCAAAGATTAGGGTAAAAGGAGGGAAGTCGTCCCACAAAGTATGATCCACTAATACTTTATAATTGTACAATCATACTATGACTTTGCAAAATAGCAACAAAATATTAACTGTGTATGATATAACTGTGTGATAATCACTCACTTCATGCTTTCGCAGAGCTGTTGTGTGATGCGGATGTATTTGTCCAGCTGGAAGGCCAGGACATCCACGTTGTGGAGGCTGGGTAAAAAGAAAGCTCCATCATCTCTCTTGAAGTGAATGAGGAGCGGGCACACGGTTCTGGCTGTTAAGATCACCGATCGTGCAGTTGCAGGGCTCACCCCCCTCGGCAGGAAGATCTCATCTGTGAACACAAACAGCGAGGTGACCGCTAGCTTCTCCACTGCATCCAGGAAGTGATGAAGTTTCTCCAGCCCCTCCAGAGTCTTCTTCAAAACTGCCCCCAGCTCCTTCTTCAATTTCTGTCTTCCAAATCCAAGATATTTTGTTAAGATTTTCCCTGTGCGTCTTTTAACGTTTCTCATCTTCTCGATCTCCGATTTCCTCGACGGGTCCATTTTGGTTCTCTGTCACAAAAGTCCTTCACTGTTTTGATGTAGGTGAGTGTGTCCAAGATGTACAGATGTTTCTGTCGTTCCTCTCTGTGCCAAAAAGAGTGGTTAGTGAGGGGAGCACTGCTATAAACTGACCATCCTGAGATCTTCAAATATCTACTCACTGAGGGTGGAAACTTAGCTTAAAGCGTAAAGGTGTGCATGTGCTTTTTAAAAAAATAATTCATATACAACTCATTTAAAATGCTTAGCCAAGCTTTTCTGCAACCCTTTGTGGTTGTATCTTTAGTTATATTATCCCTAAAAATGACTGAAACATGGAAAACACAAACATTTCCAGTGCATGGCCTCCCAAACCTGCCAGCGGGAAACACTGCTGTGCATATTACATCAGCCTAAGACCACATGAAGTGGACAACAAGAGAGCCTACAGATGAGTAAGCAGATGCAGAAGTGGGTCATTCTACAGAAATGTCCACTTTTCTATCTCTCCTAGGAGTCACTGGTGTTACTGATCCTCATTGGTGTTACACATAATAAAGGTAACATCAGTGATATTTTTAATGAACAATGCATTTTACTAAATGTCTGCTACAGAGCATCAAACCACATGTTGTCAATCATGGAATATCCACCAAAATATGTAATTTAATCCATTTGTTTTCTATTTTTTCACAATTACCTCAGAATAAAGTCGGTCACACCAGTGACTTCAGCTAAAAGCTTCATATGAAATCATGAGCTAAATGAGAAAATCTCTGATAACTGAAAGACTCAGTGGACTCGCCATGTGCTTTTCTTCATAGATCCTCAGAAAATAAGTAAAAGGAGGTCAAGTGATGTCATCAGTGTGACTTTTATTTCAAAATAAAATTTTGTTATGCAGTAACACCAGTGACACGACTCCTGGGGACAACAACTTTCATTATATATTTTATAATATTTATTTGCCATTTGTTGTCTTTATGTCATTGAAATCATATATTTCACAGTCATGGATAAAATACTGTAGTTAAAACTGCAGAAAAACATTCACACATGACTGTGAGGACGAGCTCTTCTGTGGTGCTTGGAATTCTATATGATTGATTTATAAACAAATATTGCTAAATTGAGGCTCAAGAAGATATAATTGTTAAAATAACTTGTTGTTTTATTTTAAAATATAAAAATTTGTAACCCTAACATGTTTTTTTTTTTTTTAAGTGTAATATATCTGTAAACGCTAGGGACACAAAAATGGATGTATCTGTAGAATGACCCAAGTACCAGTAGTGGTGTGCTTCGGAGTGTCAGCTCTGATGTGTCCAGGTATGTGTTATAGTCACGTTTTTTGACAAAAACAGAGAAAACAAATACTGTGATAACATGTTGCTGGAGGTTTTTAGCCATCAGGTTAAACATACTCTCTGAGGGTACATTGACCATTTACATGGATCAAACTACAACCTTGACAACACTGGATATGTAAAATGGACTTTAACTTTAAAAAAAAATATATACAAAAATGCCTAAATGCAAAATCTCAGACCAGTAGTTATAAACCAGTACGTATGTATGACCAGTAGGGCTGCAGAACATTTCTGATGTAAACACTGTCATTTTACTACTTTTTGTGGTAATTCTGTTTTTCTTTGCATCATTATCGAGTTATAGATGAAAATGGTTTGGATGATAAAATTTCATTTTACACTACATTAACCAACTTTTTGGAATCACATTCTATCTTCTACTGCATATTCATTAACTGTGAAATTTCATTTTATATAATAAAGTTCACAAATCAGGTTCAGGGTTCAAAGAGGGGTAAATTATGGCTACTCACTTCCAAATGACAAATGCCTGAAATTTCTTTCTTTTTTTCTGCACTCATGGTGCTTTTTTGCTTGTGGTTATGACCTCTATCCACAACCTCACATAACCTGTTTTAGAAAAAAGTATGGGATGTTCCAGTACGTTCATCGACTGTTTATATTTTTTGTATATAATCATGAACATGCACCAGCCATTTGGCTTCATATAGAAAACTTCGTATAAAATATGTCTTTTTTGTACATTTTTTGTGTAATGCTTTGGTCATAGGACTTCCTGCAAGTACATCCAACAAATTACAACCTGTGCAAAATGCAGCAGCAAGAATATTAATGCGGGCTAGAAAACAGGATCATATTAGACCAGTTTTAGCATCACTGCACTGGCGGTCTCTTTTTTAGAATCGACTATAAAATTTTACTACTAGTTTTTGAATCTCTTAATGGTGTAAGAGATAAACATCCGTCAGGTTCCTTCTGTAAATTAAAAAAAAAAAAAACAGTTAAAAACTTATTTCTTTACTTTAGCATTTAACTAGTTTTTTATTGTTTCCTTTGTTTTTACTGGAATATTACTATTACTTTTATGTTCTTGTTGCATTTTTTTATTGTCTTTCTTTTTTTTATTTACACTTTTATCCTGTGCTTTTTAATTGCATTCATTAATATATCCATTTTCTGCTATTTATTGTTTGTTTCTTATATTTCGTTTTTATTCTTGATTTTCTTTTCTTCCTCTGTTGTTTTTACTTTGTACTGTGAAGCACTTTGAGCTGCATTTTTAATGTATGAAAGGTGCTATATAAATAAATGTTATTATTATTATGAAAGTGTTTGGACGTTTTGAAATGTAATGCCTCATGTCAGTGGCTCATTTGGCTACATTCAGTTGGAAAGTAGCTGTGATCATGAGTTAAGGAAGCTAGTACTCTAGCTAATGAGCGCATTAAGCAGGCATTCAATGCTTAAATCTACTTTACAGCTCTCTCTGCATGGCTCTCAGAATCCGACTGAAAAAAGGATATAATTGAGAAGTACAATTTTGCTGCTCAGTTTTGGAAGACTCATCCAGCGCATCACCGTTCCTCCTTTTAGGGCAGAGATTTAGGGCACCAACGTTATCTGTTATTTTGTGTCTCTTGTGCCCAGATTGTGGCTGAGCTGGTTGGAGGCAAAAACTTTTATTCTTTCGAAGAATTCTAGTGAATCTTGGATCTTGGATCCAGGGGTGATACTTACAAAAGTGGTTGGGCAAAACATACTGTTTCCAGTGTCTGGCTGAGTGATGAAATTCACTCCACTGACTAAAACTGCCTTTCATGTCATGCTAATGACATGTCTTTACATACCTATTCTGAGGTGGGTAGTAACTAGTTACATTTACTACTTCAGTAGAATATTGATGGATTTACTGTCCTGAGTATTTTCAAATGATATTACTTCTACTTCTAAGTGAGTAAAATAATCTTTTTATGTTTTAGTCTTTCATACTTAGTTACTAATTCAATTTTTTTTGTGTGTATAATTTCAATAAATTTTGATAGTGTTAATATTTGTACTACTTTGTGTTTGGTTACATCTCTGACAAAAAAATCCCAAAAAGAGAAGCACAGAGCCACACAATCATCCTGTCCTGATAAATGCTGGATGCTAAGAAGTTCCACTGCAGTACTCAGGACTTAAGTAGATTTTCGACCTGCTTCTTTTGTATTTCTACTCAAGTTGTTTTGAGGAAGGTACTTTTACTTGTGTAATGATTTTATGCAAGTATCGAAACTTTTAGCTGAGTGTTGATCAAGAACAGTGTCAGTGTTTGTTTTGATGCTGCTTCAGTTGGTACAGCCTCAGTAATATTCGTTAGCTAACATCTCTAAAGAACATCAGGCTGCTTTCAAACCCCATTTCATTTACTAAAGACCCACCCCTGTTTGTTTGTTTGTTTGTTTGCTTTTTGATATCTCTTTCATTTGGTTCGGATTGTGGACTGCAAAGGCTAACGTAAACCAAATTACATACGTGGGTGTTTATTTATTGATCAGAAGTTTTGCAGGGATGCAAGTGCTCTGTAATTCTCATATTCACCGCCGAGAAAACAGAGAAACAGAAAATAGAGACTTACCATCTTTGTGGATACCAATTTAAATTTAACTGATCAGGTCGCTGATGCTTGGCCAAAAATATGCTTCATGTTGTGCCAATGTGCACATCTGAATCATGTCAATTTAGGTAAAGAAACCACTGTAAAGAGAGTAAAGAGCAAACTGCCCTGATGATGATGATGATGATGATGATGATGATGATGATGTGGACAAGCAAATCACCTTCTATAACCCAACACACCCTCATGCTCTGTAACCCTGTGGGTTAAACTACCAACCTGGTTGTTGTATCCATTGGATGGACCTTCCACTGTAGGACACCCTGGGAAGTTCTTCTCACTTCGTCAGGTGTATATCTTGAGGTGCTGAGCTTCTCTCTGGAGCAGAAAAGAAGTTTCCACAGACTGAGGAACAATTGCTAATAGTGGAATTAAAATGGCTGCATAACTCTTGGGGACAACCAAGTAGATTCCTGATGATATTTATTCAATTCTGTTTCAATTCCTTATACTTTTAATGCTTTCAAGCACTTTTAATAACAGATAATAACAACAGACACAGTCACAAATATGTATCTGAAAAATGCCAGGAATTTTCTTCTTATGTTTTCACTTGTGAAAAGATAGGAAGTACAATAACACAACATATTGAAATGATGAGATTGTAATGATAAGATGTGCACTAACTAGAGTCCAGTGTTGCTGAAGAGTACTGAGGCTAATGAAAATGAATCCTGACTGCAGAATACAAAACACTGGCTGAGTTGCCAAATAAGTCTATTTTTATTCCTCTCTGTTACGTTGTTTTGCAACCTCTGCTGAAGTAGTGCTGACAAGATATGATTGTAATCAACACTGGAAAACCACACAGGAAACATGAATATGCCTGCACTGTAACTGAATGCATAAAAGGGCCTTTTCAAGATGTTAATGTTAATGCAACATGCCAGATGATTGGTGGAGGTTCCTAATGGTGTCCTGTGATAATCCATCCCATGCAGCTTGAATATTCTTACACAGTTCCTGCAGATTTTGCAGTAGAGGTGGAGTGTTGGGTGGAGTGTTTTATAGGGTGTCCAATAGGATCCCACCATTTTTTAATCAGGGATGGTCTGGCGATGCGGCTGGCCATGGCACAGTATCTATGTCTTCAAGGCAGCTCTTGAGACAGCAGCAGTATGCAGATGAGCGCAGTCCTTTTGGAATAGTGCACCAGAGTTTTCCTTGCCACTGTCACCATTAGGTTGCTCATGGGGGGTTCGGACCTGGATTTTTCTGTAAAGCTGCTTTGTTACAATGCCTGTTGTAAAAAGCATTATATAAATGAACTTTGACTTGACTCCTCTGTTCCACTCTTGAACTCTGGAATGGAGGCTGAACCAATGGATGGTTCAGCAACTAATTTCTCTCCTTCTCAAACAATTCAACTTTAGCTTGGAGGATATTGATACAGTGTTGAGTGCATTCACATGTTCTGCAGCACATCTGTAGTTTGGTCATTGCTCCATTAATCGGCCTATGGTCTGCTGTTTTTCTATCATTACAAAAGAGTGCCACTGTCCAAACACCTGAACACACCCCTCAAGGTCTTTTTTCTATAAACATTTGCTCAGAACCAAAAAAAATGCTCTTGACTCCATTCGGACTCCTCTAGAATCCCATACTTCTTACACAATAACTTTTCTTTTGAGCATACTTTGTATTTTGAACACAATTTTGTAAGGGCCCAGCCTGCGCTGCCGGTCGCCAGCAGAGGGCGACGGCGAGGTGCCACAAGTTCAGGGAACTCCAATTCCCAGAAGTCCTCGGACTGATTAGGCCCAACCTGGCACACCTGAGGACTCCTCTACTTAAGGCTGGGGCAAACAGCAGCCCTTTGTCACACCTTTGTAAAGGGGTGACTGGTATGGTACGTAGCCCAGGTGGGTATTTAAACAAAAAGAAAAGGAAAGGGAAAAAAGATAAGAGGGCTGGAAAAACAAAAGAGAGAAATTGCCCCAAAAAGAAGGATAGAAGAATAAGATACGGTTCCAAGCTATACAAAAGTGTTTGCTCCACAAAGCTGACCTTCCTCTCATAATCACAGAGCCAGTGTTTTTTGTTTTCTGATGATCTTTTATTTCACTTTTTCTGTCTCAGCCTTTGTTTGAGCTGCTTTCAGCATCCCCTTTGTTTGCCATTTATCTGCTGTTTCTAATTTCCCATTTGTTGAGGTGTTTTTTCCCTTGTTCACCTGTGCTTCCCGGTGGTGCAGCAGTAACTCCATGTCCAGGCCTAGCAGACCGCCAATTGGTACATTGGCAGTTCGAGGCTGACTCTGAGCCACCTCAACCCCAATGTGCACAATCACTCAATCTCTGTGATAAATTAATTTAAGACCCTTTCTCACAGGTTTTCCTCTCTGCACTTGGGTCCGCCTCCCTCCCGTCCCATAACAAATTTATCTAACATCAACTTTAAATCTCCCTTAAATATATGTCTGTGAGCATATGACGGACACATCTGTAGATTTTATATCTGACAGGAACCCCTCTGTGTCCTTTGAATCCATCGGGGGACCATTGGGACCAAAATCCCGAAAAGCCAAGGATGTTGCCTCACCCTGCTTGGGTCGGAAAAGACCATTCGCCCACATCCTAGACTACATTCTAAGGAAAATCCTACACAGACACGAGATAAACAAACAAAAATGGACTTCCTTTTTGGCACTTAAGTTATTTTTCTGGAGGTCATTGCAGTCAGAGAGGGAAACCCATCTTCCTGCCGACTACGCCAAACTGCTGTAAATCTTTATCTTTTCTAAAAGGAGAGAATCAGGAGGGCACAGGAGACTGGAACATGGTGTTATTGTAGTGCACTGAAGCCCAGCCTTGCCTAAATAACAATTCTGACAAGAGGGTTTATACAGTGCAGATGTTAATGATTATCTCTGTTGTAGTAAGTCAGGAGACACAGAAGTAAGTAATCCAATAAATAACTTCTTTGAAAACAGACCTGGACCAAAGTCAGTATTTGCGTTGATAATCATGTGGACTAGCATTTAAAGGAACAGAGACTGAACATTGACACTCAGACCAGTCATAGAAGTGTATATCCCAGAACACAGAGACTTAGATCTTGGATGTTCTGCTTCAGTTTTTGGTGCAGTGGCTTTGAGATGGATGTGTATGTATGCTGGATGAGATGCCCCCTTTTGGCAGGGAGCTCTTACCCATGAACACAAACAGTGAGGTGACTGCTAGTCTTTCCTCTGCATTCAGGAAATGCTGAAGTTTCTCCAGCCCCTCTGGAGTGTTCTTTAGAACTGCCCCCGGCTCTTTCTCCAAATCATCCCATTTAGAGTGTGCTGTTATCTGGGTCAGACCACAGATAAACAGTGCTTAAAGCTTTTTATCTTTGAGAGAGAGGAAAAAAAAAATCAAGCTCCACTTTTGCATCAGATCTGATATAGAGCTAGATTTTCTTCTCTCTCTCAAAGATTAGTTTTGTTTATCTGATGGGGACAGTTTTGGTGGTCTACCAGGTCTTGTAGGCCGTTGTTAGGAGTCCCATTTTCTCTGTAGCTTTTAATTAGTTAGTATAATGAAAAAGTTGTATTTTATGGTTGTGTTGACTGGAAGTTAATATCTCAGGTGATTTAAAGTAATAGAGGTGTCTCAGCCACACTGGGCAGGTAAAATCTGACTGATGTGCAGCCCCAAGCCAATTTCAAGCTGCAGCTATTTCAACATGGCTCAGTAGTGTGGGTGAGAGTGTGTCTGTCTGTTTTACCATGAGTGAAATGGGAAGTTTATATGGGTGTGATAGTTTCATAGTTTTCAAGGGTCACATGCCAATGTGGCTCAAAGGTCTGTGCCTGGTGACGGTAAAAAGTGTTTTAAGTCAGGTTTTAAAGAACCTTTTGTGAAAACACTCATGTCTCAGCTCTTGTACAATCAGACTAAGCTAAGCGGCTACAGAGACCACGTTACTCGGTGGGAAAGTTCATGTGACATTCAAAATTACACGTTTGCAGCTGCAGTATACTACAGCCACCACTTTACTGAACTGTATGTTTATGTTCTTTTATTTGACAAAGATTAAGCTTCAACTCACACTCATTCACTGTTTTGGCTTCAGATTTAGGGGCCATCTTAAATTCACTGGAAGACAAACAGTTTCTGTTGGTGGTGGTGGTGGTAGTAGTAGTAGTAGTAGTAGTAGTAGTAGTAGTAGTAGTAGTAGTAGTAATTTGTCTATGTTCATCTGGACACATCATCAGTGAAGCATCAGCAGATGTACTTGCAGAGATTAATAACTGCAATTTTTTCTTCCAGGAACTTGCAGACGGTCCTTAATTCTGAAGCAGACACAGGATTATTGTTATCTTTGATCTTCTATCAATACCTCTGTAAAATTCATTCTTAAGTTCCAGCCAGTATTACTATCATGTAAGTATACTGCAGCATTAGCAACACTGGATGTGTTATGCTTGAGGCAAGTCACAAAAAAAGTCTTACAATGTATGACTGCTGATATATTACTGAGGCCGTAGTCATTTATGCACTGATTTGTGTTAATAAAGTGCTGTTTTATTTACATCAGAGAAACTAATAACAGTTTTATTATCAGTCCTAAAATAACAGCTTTATTTTGCCGAAACTACAAATCTCTAATGCACAAAGCTCCACCTAATCCTGTTCTCCACAAACAGGATGTGTCCATGGTGATAACAGAAAATAAGAGCAGATCTTGTGATCTGTATTTTATACACAGAGCTTCTTTCAAATAACAGTTTAAAAGTACACCAATGGGAATTCCCAGCCCATGTTCATCAAACATATGGGAGAAACAATTGGCACAACATAGTGCTAAGACATTTTGGATGAAAAAACTTGACACTCAAGCACTGATGTCCACAACATTGTCTGAAAGCTGCTTTGTTTACTTTACAATTTCACTTTCCTTCAAGAAGACCAAAATGAAAGTGTTTACTTTATTAGACTAAACATTTTATTTGGAGGCAGTCAAAAATAATAAGCTGAGAAGTGCATTTCATAATACGCCACGTCGCAACACTTTCACAAGTGTCTAAAACTGCAAGAGAATCATATCTTGGCTCAGTTTTCTGATAATATTTCGCAAAGGCCTCCAGTGTTCACCACCCCTAGTCTCGGAGTCAGGTTTTATTAGCTCATGTAAGTCTATTGCACATTTACACTACAAAAAAATAATGTCTTAACATGTGAAAACTTCTTAAATGTATTAATAAATCTAATATTTCTCATTATGAGACTGTTGTAAGAATATTATAAGATTATTCCACCTGTTTCTGTACATTCTTACTTGTTTTAAGTAAGTTGTTTGGCTGGAAGGAAACAAACAGAAATAAATCTAAGTGCTGTTCTATAAACCACCTGTAGTCAAAGTACCTGTTTTTGGCATCTATTTGATACCATGAGTACACAGTCATGGAGACTCTTAATCCTGGTTAGATACAATCTAATCTGGGTTTATTATACAATCCTACACTCCTAAAAAGATGGTTCCTCAAGGGTTCTTTAGTAAAGGGAATGGTGCTATTCAGAAGCGTGAGTTCTACACAGAACCATTTCATGCTTAAATATTTTTTGTATGGTGAAAATGGTTCTTCAGATTGGTGGAGAATGTGTTGTGTATGATTTCTACATAGAACCTTATTAAAAATGGTTCTTTCTGGCACCAAAAATAGTTCTGAGGCTTACAACCATATACAACACATTCTCCATCAATCTGAAGAACTGTTTCATGCTTAAATGTTTCTTTGCATGATGAAATGGTACTACAGATTGATATGAATGTTATACATGGTTCTCTATGGCACCAGAAAGGGTTCTGCTATTTCCTGATAGCAAGAGGACAGTGGGCCACTGTTGGCAAAACTGGCGGTCCACTGGTGTTTGCTCAGCGTTTTCTGGGTGGCCCACTGGTGTTTAAGCAGAGTATTAGACAAAATTCCACTTATCATCGCTCGTTTTTTCACTCAGTCAAATTTCTTTATTTTTGATTCCTTCTTTTCTTTAATTATGCTTTGTAAATTAGTTTAGTAAATCATTTTAATCCAGCTCAGCGTCAGCAACATTTTCTATAAAATCACTTTACACTAGTACTAGTCATTTTTTTTTCTCGTAGTTGTTTGTAATATTTGTCTTAATGTATTTTCTGAAATAAAATTCTCTGTGCATTTAAAATCTGTTTGAAGAGATTAAAAACTAGGTAGAGCAGAGAAGTGGCAAACAGTCAGTGGGGTGCCGACCTTATCAAGCCACCGGACCGATATATGCTCACTGCCTGGGTTGTTGCAATGTCAAGCTAAATAGAACCTACAATTCTCTTTGCTAAAGAACTGTTGAAGAACCAGCTTTTTAACTACTAACCTGGTTGTGGAATCCACTGGATGGGCATTCAAAGCTGTAGGACACTCTGGTAAGTTCTTAGTTCAGTTCTTCTTCAGATGTTTGTCTTGAGATGTAGACAAGCGTACTTCTCTCTGGAGCAGAAAAGAGGTTCTTCAGACCAAACACAGTTTCTCACGTGGAACTGAGGGTAATAAAGTGGCCACATCACTTTCAGTTGGTCTTGACTGACCATGACTTCAATGCAGTTTAACTGCAATTCACTTCAATAACTTCTTTCAAAGTCTATAGAATTTTTCATAGATGGTCATTAAAGCAGTGTAACATCTGCTACAGATGCCAGAGGTTTTACTAGCAGTAAAATAGAAAACTACGTTTAAAATAAAAGATTGCACACTTACTGGCTGATCAGTCCAACGTTGCTCCTCAGGCTAACCAGAATGAATATCTCTGCAGCAGACTGCTTCACTTTAGTCAACAGCTGTAAAGTATTAATCTCATCAAGTTTCGCTTTCCTGTTACGTCACCTCTCCACCTCTTTCCGTCCACATTGTCAAGCTGCGCTGCAATTGGCTAGGGCTTCATCCTCAAACAATCTACCCAGAGACAACGATATAAATAGAAGACAGAAATTAAAATGGTTCTACAAAGAACCATCTTTTCTGAGTGGGTACTGTAGGATTGGCAAACCACAAGCACTGGCTAGTCTGACCATCTTAAAGAAACAATCTACAAGGGAATTAGTGAAGATTACCTCTCCAAAATGGCAAATTTAAGAGCGCCAAAAAGTTTATGCAGGCTGTTCAGAAGGTGATTTCTTGTGAACTGGAAAACAGAACCTACTCAAGTGTTACGCTTTTATTTTGCATTTCAAACTAAAGGGATCACAAGTATGATGCATTTTTGGGCTACTGTTAATAAAAAATAAAAACAGTAGACTTCAAGAAAAAAGTTGTACTGTTTAGAGAATAAAGTCTTAATGTTTAGAGGAAAAAAGTGGTAATATTTGGAGGATAAAGTGGGCTGACTGTAGGGGGCTGCCATAACGCGTTGGGGTCTCGGTTGCTGTACTGGCGCCGGAGCTCCACTCTCTCCTGTCTCTCTGTGGATCATTTTGATTATCATTCTCACTGTCTGTGAAACTTCATGCCCTCTTTGAACGGTGTGGAGATGAAGCCCCGATAGCTGTGTAGACGACCCTGCCTGAGATTCTCCTTCAACGACACAGACAGACAGTTTCCTCCGAGTCCGTCTGGCTCTTTATTCTAGATAAACACAGTTTCCTGCTCAGCCGTTTCAGCCGGTTCTTATACTAATAACAGGCTGGTGCTGATGTGCAGGAGAGACAGGGAGACTGAGTGTTTCTTTATGGGTGAATCGATATGAAAGTGTAACTCCACCAACTCACCACCCTTCATTTTAACACGAGGAGGTGTTGCCTTCGCTTTGCAAAGCCTTTGGCCACAATATTGCGACCTTTCCTGGTATTACTGCCACTTTAATGTCATAATTGACATTAATTAACAACTATTTTTCTCGAAATAGTACAACTTTATTCTCGATCATACTGTACAACTTTTTTCTCGAAGTATTACGACTTTATTCTCGAAGTCTACTATTTTTATTAACAGTGGCGCTAAAACGCCATCATACAAGTAAGGTAGGCTGTCCTACCTTTCATTGATTACTTAACAGATGTGACCAATTAATCATGTTTGAGTGCCCATTTTCAGCTAAAGTAGACGAGGCTGAAGTTGACTTCTTATTCACCAGCTTCTTGTTCGAATTTACCTGTTCCGCCTTAAATGGTACAGCAGTTACATTCTGGCGCCTGATAACGCGCTGCACCATTTAAGGTGGAATGGGAAAATTCGAAAATCTGACTTCAGCTTTGTTTTAGCTAGCTAGCTTGCTGAAATATGCCAGTTAGCTAAGTTAGCTGGCTAGCAATAGCATATAAGTTACAAGGCAAAGATTAGATAGCTAAAAGATTTGCTTAACCTATGTCAATTAGCTATCTTGTCTACCATGATGATGTAAGTGTGATAATGTGTAAATATAAATTTAGCAGACACAAACACATACCCAGCCACAACATGGTCCCCATGAAAAGTACTGCCAGAGAACTTGTAGAGAAGAGAACTACCACTCTGCAATGTCTTCCAGGTTTCTCTAACACTAGAGGGGCACTTCCAAAATGAATGGGTTAAGATGGAGCATTTGAGCAAAATCATAGTTTATAAATGCTTAAAGATTTTTTATGTAAAAGAATTCATTCATTCACTAAACATAGAATAGCATAAAGCATTGCAACACCGCTGCTATATTGTTGAGCGCATCTGAACTTGAGTTGTAGGAGTTTGAAACGCTGCCTCATGTACGTCCATGACGTCTGTGAGTGCGACCAGCCAATGAGCCGCTCTGCTCGCCAACCAATCAGCACTCAGTAGCAGTAATGCCAGTGTTCTGCTGCCCAAAACCCGTTCGTGATAGAAAAAAGGAAATAGGTGTAGTTAAATGAAATATGCTTCTACTCTGTAAAAGTAAAGGAAAGTTCTAGAAACTATTTAAACTTTTTTGTTTTAGCCATTTGAAATAACAAGGGAAATAGGAAGAGGCCAGGCCCCTCATTAACCGACTCTGGTACTGCACTATGTGCTGTTATCTAGCTAGCTAGCTACCTAACCTAGCTACTTAACATTTAAATGAACTAATGAATTCTTCAGTTTATACCGAGCCCCTAAAGAATCAAAGTGGAAAAATAGTCAATTTAATAAATCGTTCCCTCAATGTCACTAAAGTGTTCCCGACCATATAAAATGTGCACTAAATGCTAGCTAATCATCTATCTAATTGTCTCAGTGCTGTGTCTAATACTTGAAAATGCTACAGTAATTTTTATAGTCCTTTAGTTAGTGATGTGTTTAGTATGATAGGCTAAGAATAGTTCTCTATCTCTTTTGGGGGGCTACCCATTGGAAATCCCAATATTCAGTGTCTTAAACTTGACTTTTTTATTGACCAGTATGAGAACTTTGACTACCAATTACTTACAGTAAAGTCATTTCATATCTTTCTTCAGAACTGATATCTGTTGGCTGCATGGGCTGCTAATTGGGATATGTATATTTATAACGTGTTGAATTAGACTTACGATCAATATTTATCAGCTACTGTGAGGAATTTCACTTTAATTACTTAAAAACCTGGTATGATTGACTCAGAAGTGATGTGTGCTGCACGGACTACCTACCGGACATCTTAAAATGTGCCGAATTTGACTTATACTTAAATTATATCAACCACTTTGGGTGTGATTATACAGATTTATTGACAATGTAGTAGCTAGTTTTAAAAGCAAAGAGGACAATTTCTATAACTATTGGCCACTAGGGGTCTCTTTTCTTCAATAGCAGAAAAGAAAAGTGGCTCTGTTGGATGATGTAAAGTGGTCGATTTATTAAATTGAGGGAAGATTTATTTAATTAAGGGAATGGATTGTTAAACTTTCAGTTCAGTTTCAGTTTCAGTAGGTCCAAGCCCCTAGTAAGCAAACCAAGAGCAACAGCGGCAAGGAGAAACTCCCTAAGAGCAAGAGGAAGAAACCTTGACAGGAATCATCGCTCAAAAGGGGAACACATGCTCCTCTGGTCGACACTGAATAGCAGAACAATAAAACAAAAGCAAAGAGTTATTAGAACAGTGAATATAGAAATAACTAATGAAACATACAGTAGTGTTAAAAAAAACTAAATAAGCCTAATCATTAGAGAAGTATTCAAATGAGAATTATCCTTGATTGCGGTCACAACATGGATAACCAGGTATGTGTGTCTGTGTGGCAGGTGTACAATATTTAGGACTTAATCGTTATAAACTGAGGGAACAGTTTATTAATTGTAGGAACTTTTTAAACCTCTAAATGATGTTTTTCTACCTTGATACTTTAAGGGCTCCATTTAGTTTATCTAAATGGTAAAAAGTGGATAAATGGTAGGAGAGAGAGAGTTTACACAATGTTTTTTAGGAATCTCCATTTCAGCTGGAGGCGCTTTCAGACCCGCCTTGATTGGATCCAAATCAATTATCAGAGCAGGGAAACACATCGCTTTCCGGGCTTTAGGAATAACATGCTTTGTAATAATGCAGAATGACTCACCAGTGATGTTCACTGCTCAAAAGGAAAAGATGCATGATGATCTTTCATCTGTCAAACTTTTCTCTCAAAGTCAACCAATCCATGAAAGAATTCATCTGATAGCATAGAAAAAGCAGGCAAGGAAGCAGAAGAGTGTTTTTAGCTACACTCACAGTTAGCCATGTTTTTCTGTTGAACCTCTCTTGATTGAAGGAGCAGTTTGTCCTTTCCTGTCACGCCTCCGGCCGAGGACGCCTCCTCCACCTGTTCCTTTTTCCTCACAAGATCACTTAAGTCCATGAACGGTCTAGAGGACTCCAACTCCCATGAATCAGTGGGAGATCACAGAACTCTCATCCCATCGCCATCAACCAATGAACATTCATTTCAGCATTTCTCCTCACCAGAATTCTAAGCCATCACACCTGTTTGTCATTACACCCCAAGGGTCAGTTAGTATACAAAGCTGGGCTTCAGCTTAGTAATTTGTGAAGTATTGCCAACACCTTCCGTTGTGCACTGAGTGGTCTTTGTTTGTGTAAGTTCTTTTGTGTATGACCTGTTTTCCATGTTTCTGACCTGCCCCTTTGGTTTGTTTGCTGCATACTGTCTGAGACTTTCGTTTTTGAACTTGGACGTTTTTGGCTACTCTCTGGATGTCCCGTTTGTTTTGGTTCTCTCAGTCTCTGGTTCTGACCCTAGCCTGTTCTGACTACGCCCTCTGTACCATTACGAAAACCTCAAACTTCAACCTTGTCCTTTTATCTGTGAGCGTTTGATCTGTGTTGCCATTGTAACATTTCCAAACTGAATGATGTTGAAATCCTCTGGCTGGTGGGTCCCAAACGTTTAATCTCTAATTTCTACTGTAATGGCAGGGTGCCAAATTTAATTTTTATTCAATTTTCGACTTGAGTCATTATATTGTTTTGCTACTAGTAGCGGCTACCACAACTGATGAGGAACAGTGGCTAGCTGTGTCGCAACAGCCACACCGTAAACCACACGCTTACTAAACGTCTGGATGTATGCAAAATAATTATTTTTATTGGCTGCTCTCAGCATGGGGCCAACGTGAACGTACCCCACAGCTGGTTATTGAAAGCGTGTTGAACATGCGCAGTGTGTTTTTTAACTGCTCACTTGATTAGACAAGCACTGACGGGCCCCACGCTCACCAAACGAAAACTGCTAGGAGGAGTAGGTCGGCAACTGGCATTTACACAACAGGTACAGGAAGATATTTGGAATGTGTCGGACAGCCTGACCACTGTCATATGTAAGAAATGTGCCACAATTTTAATTACAAAAATATGTACATATAGTAGTTGTTATACTGAATTATTGATCATGTCTTTCACTGCTCCACAGCGACATCTGGTGGGGCCAGGCCCCTCCGGCCCCTAATGTAGAGGCGCCACTACCCTTTACAGACGCTCACACGCGTGACTGTTTATTGATCAGATGTTTTGCAGGGATGCAAAGCGCTCGTTCCAGCACTGCGGGCTGCTGTAAATAAGCAATAAAATGACATGCTTTTGATTATGGATTGTGGAGCACAACTTAATTTGGTAAGCGTCTCCATTTTCTGTTTTATGGTTTTAATAGTGGTGAATATGAGAGTAACAGAGCGCTTCCATCTCTGCAAAACGTCTGATCAATAAACAAAAACCCATGTGTGTAATTTAGTCCACTTCAGCCCTTGCAGTGCACAGTCCAAACCAAAGGAAAATATTAAATATCACAAAATCAATGCTGCTGTCTGAGGCTGCACTTACTGAAGCAGTTCATGATCAGATTCAGAGGTGGGGAGAGGAGCCTAAATCAGTGCTAAAGTGTTGATACTTGCATAAAATCATTACACAAGAACAAGTACCTTCCCCAGAACAACTTAAGGAGCAATACAAAAGATACGGGCCGAATATCTACGTAAGTATTCAGTACTGCAGTGGAACTTCTTAGTACATCTAGCATTTATCAGCATAGGAACTGAAGATTGTGCAGCTCTGTTCTTCTTTTTTTGGGATTGTTTTGGTCTAAAATACAAAGTTCCACAGTTAGAGATTACAGAGCAGTACAATTGTTGCCACCATCAAAACATACGATGATGAGCGATGATGAGTGGAATTTTGTCCAATTCTCTGCTTAAACACCGGTGGGCCGCCCAGAGAACACTGAGCAAAACGCCAGTGGACCACCAGCTTTGCCATCAGTAGGCCAACAGGGGTCCAGTATCCTCTTGCTATCAGGGATTGAATGTTAACGCTATTAACGTGTATGCTAGCAGCTTGATAATGAGTTGTTACTGGTCTAATTTTACACTCAAGAGAAAATATACACCTTGCTTACCTCTATAAATGATTGAGTAACTGTAACTTGGCATTTGTGTGAATTATCACTCTGTAAACAGTTCAAGTCAGCATCAGCTAGCTCTGAGGCAGTCATGTTGAATGCTAAAGCTATTAGAATGCACCCTCGCAGCTACAGTGGAGTTTTTTTGCTCTTATTTTTACATTCTACATTATTTTTTTTACACATGACTGTGAATAACTGTAGACACTGAGTGTATGTGTGAGTAGAAATCATCTTTGAGTCTAACAGATGTGTTACTATGATAGTAACGTGCATAGACGAGTGCTTCGGCCACCACTGCTATCATAATATTGTACTAATATTATTAATCATATTATTGTTCATTTTAAATATGGTAACTTTTTGAGACTTACTCAATTACTGAACAATGTACATGCTATTATTATTGCTGTTATCATATACAGTGATGTAATGCTGAAGTCAAGCTAGCTAATAAATGTAATTATAAATGTAATTTAACAAGGTGATAATTGTAAAATTAGTGATTGACACAACAAAATATATTCAGTTATGTGTCCTATTTCATATCCTGTATCATAGACACTTACGTGACTAATGCCATGCAGTACATTAATCCAGTGAAACTAGGCTGGTGTAGTCTTATTTTTTTGTGGTCTAAATGATCACAGGAAACACACTAGCGTATTTCCAATACTTTCCGTTAGCTAATGTTACAATATAGACACCATTATTTGCTCTTCAACAGGCTAAGCTGGCATTTTATATTCTTAATTAATACGTCAGTTTCCTACTTCAATAACATGAATCAAAAAAAGAGCTAAATGTAAAGTAAGAGGTGACTGGATATTTAACAGTCATGTACAGTGATGCTACAACATTGTGGTTCTAGTGTAGCAGCAGCTTTTCAAATCCAGTGCTTCACTTTATTTATCTCATAAATCTGCACTGATTGACCAAAATCTAAATAATAAATGTCCTTATTGCTGATAGCATGTCTGAAAAATCTCCTGATTCTGATTGTGACTGATTCCAATCATACATGTGTATATAAGTGTGTAAACACTCACTGCACTCCTGCTCCACATGTGGCTCAGCAGTGTCTGTGGTGACTAAATAGGCAGAAATGTTTCTTGCGCAAAGACAAATTCAGAAAATTGTGAATGTCATTATTTACATTGATATGGATTTGAATTAATGTTTTGAGAGAAAAAAAGAAAATGTGGGAACTCCTGACCTTTGATACCTGTAACGAGTGCTTTGAGGGTCTAAATGAAAATGTAAGGAGTTTAAAGTAAGTCAATAATGAAGTCACAACAGAGTCAGCAGTGTCTTTGCCAGATTTATTCAAAGAATTCGTCAGACAAACACAAGTTTTATGATGCTGAAAAAATGATCATGCAAAACATCATTGATTGAATATTTAAAAGTAAGGAATACATGAATGTAAAATAAATCAAAGACTGAAACATGGCTCTCTCCAGCATTCGGCCGTCTCTCTCTGTTCTCATTACACAGATAACAGTCTGCTACTGTTTGACCTCACAGCGACTCCAGCCACTCTCGAAAAAGCAGACTGGTTTAACTGACTAAACGCTCTGATTAATCCTTTTTAAGTTTGTCTCCTTTAGATCATTCAAGAGCTTTTGCCCAATCACCTTGAAGTGTTTATTTAAGCCTGAGTGCATAAACTGGACAGATTTGTTAATATGCCTGATAATATTCAGACAACTGTTCTTCAGTACAACTGATTACCTTCTGGACACAGCGTGACCTGATATTTATGACCGAGACTGCCATTGGGTCACAGACAGAGAGAGGAATCCTGGATCAATGAGCTGCCATGTTGGATTCAAATAGGATTTAAACAAACAAATAATAAATACACCAGGTGGAGGTAGAAATCTGGTTTTAACATGCATAACACATTCCTGTCATCATATACGGTACATGCTAGTCTACAAGTCACATGCAATTACTAAAACAATCTAAACTTAAGTAGTAACAGTGATCACAGCAAATCAATAGATAAGTGTAACCAAGAAAGAATAGATGAGTAACACAGTGAATATTAAAAGATATATAGGACAAGTATTCAATTTCAGTAGTACTTATATTTGACAAAATCCAAAGTATTACTTGTACTGTTATTATACTGTATACTATTATACTGCTAAGATTCCCAATGCAAAAGAAATTCTTTTTTTTTTTCTGTAAGTTAAAGATCTGTTGATGGAAAGTCATCCTCCAAAATGCTGATCAAATCAAATCAAAGTACAAGGAGTAAAATAAAATACATGACCTAAAAATTAAGTCAGGGTGACCTTAGCCTGTCTGCAGGTAAAGGTCTAAGTGTATAGGCACAGTGTTTAAGTATAGTTACTCTATACTGGTTTTCAGAATTCTCATTTTATCTGCTAATTGAGAGCTATAAAAGTAAATATAAGTTATTCTCCAAAATGCTCAACTCAAGGTATAATGAGTATAATGATAAGAGAAAAAAGTAAGTAAATTTGATATTAGCAAGGTTTGTGAAGAAATATATAACATAGATATATGTACTCTGTTACATTACAGTGTTCCCACAGATTTAGAAATGTGCTTTTGTGCTGTGGTGGCACATAAAAAGACATCAAAATAATATTTCATCATAATAACTTTTTAACTAATTGCTCTCGGCTTTACAAATGCACAGTTTTTCATTTAAGATGATGTAAATCAATTACATACAAATATTAATCACACTAAGACTTCATTCCCAGGCTTCATTTATGTCTTTAGAGCAGCGGTCACCAAACCTCAAATGTTCCCTCACCTAACACTAATGCATCTGATACAGCCAAACAAGGGCTATGTTCAAAAGTGCATTCTACTACATTAAACTACGCTACCAGTAATGTGCTATTTATTTTTTACATACTATTTAGTATTATAAGATGCTGTTTTGGCTGCAGCCATGGACTCATCTAGAGCAGGTGGGGCAGATTGTGATTAGAACTAGAGTGTACGGGAAGGTAGATCTCCAGGACCAGGGTCTCTGACCACTGCTTTACAGTATGATTTATTTTTTTGAATGATGTATTTTCTCCCCTGTGCAGCTACACTGTAACTTACTATTCAACATTTAGTTACAATTTTAAGGCAGCCTAAACACTAACTTTTTAAAGTTAAAACAACACCTTTATAGTGTAGCGTAGAGAAGAGAAAGCAAATTCAACATTACTAAGTATGTGCAGTAGCTCGCTAACTTTATACAAGTGCCATTGACCCTTGCTGCTCTCTCTCCTGCTGTCTCCTTCACTCCCGCTTGCTCTTATTAACCCCCTCCCTTGATGAGTTCACATAGTGATCAGCATCAAAGTGTTGTTAATTTGAAATGGGTAAATAAAATTGTGAATTTTGTTTTAAATTACTGATATATTTGGGTGGGTGTCCATCTACCTTGGCAAAACTGCCAGAGAACAATCTATAAAGGGAAACACTGCATTTCACCTTTTTCAATAATTTTGTTAAACAGATTGCAAGTCTTATGTATTTTATTAGTGTGCTTTACATTTTAAACTTTTTAAATTTGGTAGTCCAGCCAATCCAGATCTGCTGTTCTTGCCCAATTACTCATTCTGTTTTTCAAACTCTGTCAGCCACTTTAGCATTTTTAACCAGACTACTCTACTGTTAAATATGTTGTAGAATTTCCAGTTTTGTCTGGAATGTTTCTTTTCCTTTACACAGACAGTCATAGATCTTATCCCATGCATCTATCTCTGAGCACCACAGAGCTGATCTGCAGCGAATGAGCTGAGATGCTTCACTTTTCTTACCTTTAGCCAGACTCCAGCCTTCTATGATGATGAATGCAATATCCATACCAATGAATAGACCATTTGCTGCGATAACCCTAACTCTAGCTGTTTTTGACATTGCCAGAGGAGTGCCCTTAGCCAGCTGCCCGATGTCAGGCAGGTCTGCAGCAAGGCTGGGGATGCTACGAGCTCCATTAGCTTCCTGAAGACCCATATTGACTGCAGTCCTTGCTACTTTCTCAGTCTTGAGAGTCTTCATAGCTGTAACTACATCAGTGATGACATCAGCACTTCTGACTATATTTTTAATAGTTTTCATAATTTTCTTTGCAACAACGTTCATATTACCCTCATCCACATGGGGTACAGGACGCTTACTGCTAGCTGCCTGCTCTAGACAATCAAGAACCCTCTGCACATCCTCCATAAAATTCTCAAAGATTTTGTTGGCTTTTCCCACTTCACGTTTGTTGACTACAAATTCAGTGACGCCTGTGACTAAGCTCATGACCCCGCTGGTGACCCCCATCCCAGTCCCGGTGAGTGTGAGGGCCAGAGATACTCCTGCAGTGATGGGGGAGTAAATCACGCCTATGATGGACAAGACACCTCCTACAGCACTCACTAAACTGCCCGCCACAGTGGAGATGCTGGACCTCTTCTTCATTTTATCCAGCAGGTCTGCAGGCCTCTCTAGATCTGACAGGAACTGGATCATCCTGGAGCGACGTTCCCTGTATGTGTCAATGAAGCGCTGAGCTTTCCCATTAAATACGAATGTCATCCTGAATGACTCATCCATTCTGAAAGAAAGGGGTTAAATTCTGAATTATTGTTATATAAAGCAAAACTAACCAACACTTCAAAGATCCTTTAAATGTAAAAATGATCTTACCTGATTTTGCTCAGTTGGCTCAAGTGATCAATCACATTTTGTGATGACCCCTTCATATTCAAACTGAGCTTCAGTGAAGGATTCCTGTTATACCACATGAAATAAATCAGAAATACAATATAAGTTATTTTTTTTTTAAAGAACGTTACTTTTGTACTGATGATTTGGGTAAAATGGAAATTAATTCCTCTTCTGGCCAAAATATGTGACCAAATCTAGCATGATCTTTACTTAATGGCTGTTCTGTGGCTAATTTTATTTGATCTGGATAACCATATTTCTGGAATTTATTCCCATGAAACCAGTTGATCTAATGGTGTTAAATGTGACTATTAAAGCAAGGCCTTCAGTTTGGGCTATACACCTCAAAGCCTCTACAATAATGCTAATTTCTGTTAGGGCCCCTATGGGATTCTAGTATTATGTCAAGCTACTGGTAATTCATATGAACATTTTTTTTTTTTGGCCATTCTAGATTAAGTACAGACATCTGAAGCTTCTAAAAGACGTTCCATGTGTTTTTTGAAGCTTGTAAAAGTATCACTTTTACAGTAATTCTTTTGGTAAAAGGTTCTGGCATTCTTCTTTTTCAGTGAAACACACTGATCTTTGACTGAAAATCAAAATGTACATCTATAAATCATACATTTTGTAAGAATCATGTGGCAGTTGATGCAAGATTCCACTTCATTTCATACCTTTCCAGTGCCATGAAAAAATATTACCCCCCTCCAGATTTTTTTTATTTTTGCAAATTTGTCACATTTGTTTCAGATCTTCAAATAAAATTTAAAAAAAGAGGGAAAGAAAACAACATAAAGCACAAAATACTGTTCTCAAACAGTTTTAAATGATTTATTGAAGGAAAGAAAGTTATCCAACACCAACTGGCCCTGTGTGAAAAGGTATTTGCCCCCTTAGTTATTCATTGAACCAATTAACCAAATTCAGTTGATAGTGGGAATTAATTCGATTAGACACACCAAGACTTGATCACTTTCATCCCCATTGGAATCTAAATATCACTTAAATAGAACTGGTCCAGCAATGTGAAGTAGGCTACAAGGTCTCAACAAGCAGTACACTGTGCTGCAGTCAAAAGAAATTCCAGAACTTATGCAAAAGTTATGGAACTAAGTCAGTCTGCAATGGGACACAAAGCTATTTCTCAAGGACTCCTGTGAGTCACAGTGAAAGGTGTTATCTCCAAATGGAGAAAAATTAGAATAATTCCAGAAGGGATCAGAATTGATGATTCCATCATTAGAAAGAAACCATTGCTAACCAAGAGGAACATAAAGGCTCATCTCACATTTGCCAAACAACATTTTGATGACCCTCAAGGAATAATGGTGTGTGGACTAATGAGTTGAAAGTGGAACTTTTTGGAAGACAGGGGTCCTGAATATTTGGTGTAAAGCTAACAGAGCAATCCAAAATAAGGAAACTCATACCAATAGTGAAACATGGTGGTGATAGTGTGGTGTTGTGTGGATGCTTTGCTGCTTAATGGTCTGAATTAGAAGCCTGTGTAGGATTGTTTTTTCAGTACCGCACTTGTCTGCTCCTGCAAGATTTCATCCCACTCCCACCCACCCACAATGAAACGTTTTCTCCCGCTTGCGCAGTGTCAAGGCGAACTGAAATCCAATATTTGACATGGTCCATTCACAAATACATTATTCTCTGCTGAAATAACATGGCAGTCGTGGTCATCAGACTCACTGTGAAGTAACTTCGCTAAATGCTGTTTATTCCCAGTAAACACAAAGCAGGAATTAAACCACAGTGTTACGTGTGAGCGCTGTGCCTTTTTTCTCTCTCTTTCTTTTCCGCTCAGTTTTACCTATCTTTCACCTGATAGGTGGACCGAAGTGACTCACTGCCTCCTTTTGACCAATCAGAGAGCCCGAGCGGACCAGGAGAGGCAGGATTTTGCGCAGCAGCCTCTCAGTTCACTTGTTTGGCTGGCAGTGGTTATGCTGCTATGTTTATTGGTAAACGCTGACAAGCTCTTAACTATACTGCTCTGAAGACTGTTCTGATACTGTTGTTGTCACCATCACTGTTAGCTCTTTGTTTACTGGGTGGTGTTAATGTCCATTTGTTCTTAATGTTTTGAGCTGGTTTTCTCTGGGAGGAAGAATTTGAGTGTTGTTCACATGATCGACCTGCTTCACAACTCTTTAGAATGGCTTCATTCATTTTAATTGTTGTACTGTTTTCCTTCTATATTGTTTATGTATGATTTAGTGATGATTCTACTTTATTTAGGCTATTCATTAATCTGCGGGATTTCTCTTCACGCGTGCTTTGGCCAGCTCCCGCTTACAGGTTGCTTTTTTCCACAACAACACTGAAAATTATGGGTCCCGCAGGAGAGCAGACCTCTGGTCTGAATGAATTGTCATAAAATGACTGAACTATTAATTCTGCTCTCCACCAGAAAATCTTGCAGGAATGTCAGGTCAACAGTCCTTGATCTAAAGTTCAAGTGCAAGTGGGTTATGCAGCAAGACAACAATTTGAGGCACAAGAGCTCAAGCAAAAGGCCACTTCTGAGTGTTAAAATAAAAAATGAAAAAATAAAATGAAGGTTCATGAGCAGATAATCACTCACTTTGAGATGCCGTGGAATGACCTTAAATGGGCAGCTCAAAGTAAAGCAGTGGTGGGTAAAAATGGGTAAACAATTCCTCCACAGTGATGGGACTAATTTCCAGTTATATAAAGTGTTTGGTTGTAGTTACACAACCAGTTTTGAAGTTTAAAAGACAATTAATTGTTCACACGAGTGATAGAATCTACAAAACTTTTTTCTTCAAGAAATGAAATAATCATGTGTTTTTCATGTTCTTGTCTTATGCTACATTTTGTACGAGGATCTCAAACCATTTAATGTAATAAACATGCAAAAGTAGGAGAAATCTGAAGATGGCAAACATGATACTGTACAAAGTTTTTGTTTGGGTTGTACCAACAAAATTGGCTGCTGTTCCACTTTATTTCCTGTAACTGTATTGATTTATGCATCATCAACAATTTTTAATATTTAACTAAATTCAAACATTGATAATTTAGTATGTAGTTTACTAGTTATTACACTTTTTTAGAGTTAAATTCTGAATTTTAAAACAGCTACAATGTAATGACTGTGTGTGAGTCAATCACTTACTTAATTTCACTACAGATGCTTTCAGTGATGCAGATGTATTTGTGCAGCTGGAAATCCAGAACGTCCAGGTTGTGAAGTTTAGGCAGGAAGAAAGCTTCATCATCCCTCTTGAAATTGATGAGAAGCGGAGAGACACTTCTGGCAGTGAGAATATATGACTGTACTGACTGAGGGCTCATCCCCTTCGGCATGAAGCTTATGTCTGAGGTGTTGAACACAGCCGGCGAGGTGACTGCTAGCTTCTCCACTGCATCCAGGAAGTGACTAAGTTTCTCCAGCCCCTCCAGAGTGTTCTTCAGAACTTCCTTCAGCTTCTTCTCCGGCTTATGCCCTTTGAAACTGCTGAAGAATTCCTTTGCTCTGCTTTTGATCTCTTTCATCCTTTTTATCTCTGACTCCCTCTGAAGGGTCCATTTTGGTTGAGTATCACAGAAATCCTTCACTGTGTTGATATAGGTGAGTGTCTCAGAGATGTACTTCTCCAGTTGTTCCTGTTGTTGTCTAAGAAAAAAAGTGGTCAATAAGGGCAATTTTGAAATAGCCATATAAGCCCTTAAATATTGTTTCATTTAGTGAAGGCAACTTAGATTGGAACTTCAATGTCAAAGCTTAAATCCATTTTAGTATGTAACTTCCACACAGTAATTCCTCAAGGTTTTGCCTCGGCTGTTCGAATGGACAGAATGTGTGTCTGCCCAAAGTGTGGCCCATGGACAAAAGTTAACATTTGATTTAAGCTACCAGAAAGGAGCCTTTACTATATAGAACACATTAACTTCTTACTTTCCCTTTATTTTTTATACATTTTAGACAAAATATAATGTTTTAAAATACACTTAGTAATTTATGAAATCTTCTTTTCAAACAGCAATTAAGTTATACATTTTTCACTGTCAGCAAACAACAACTAATATATATATATATATATATATATATATATATATATATATATATATATATATATATATATATATATATATATAATATATCAACATTTAATGTGTCCTTTTTTACAGCTTCCATTCTTTTCAGGAGACTCACTTTTGGCATTTCAAAGAAATATGCTTGGATGTTTTTCCACACCTCCAAAGTCCAAAGTTTAGTTTTAAAAGTTGGTTTTGCATTTTCTGCTTCTCATCATTCAAATAATCACAAACACCTTCAGTGATGTTGAGGTCTGGACTCAGTCTGTTGTTCTGAGAACACCAGCAGTTTCTTTGTTTGACAAGTATATCTAGCAGCATGCTTGTACTTGTCAGTATTCTTGATGTCTTCAATCAAAAATTGCAAAATTGATGCCATACAATTTGAAAACCCTTTAATTGCTGCATACAGCCTTAGCACAAGTTACTAAGACACTAAACTGTCTAATGACCCATTTCTATTGGCTGGGCTTTCATAGTGATGTCACAGGTAATTTTAGCTTTTAATAGTATATTTCAATTGGATGGATTTTACAAATAAATGTACAATTTATGCATTAAAATTATGTGAATGATGATTTACAAGTAAAGTTATATGTTACATGTAAAAACTGAACAAAAACTGGGCGTAGGACTAAAATGAAAACTAGCTCAGCAAACTAGAAACAGCTGCTAGTTTTAATTCAATTTAGATGACAACAGAAACCAAAACGACCGAGCTGAACAAAGTTCACAGAAAAGACAAAGCAAAATGACGGTAAATGTATGAAGCTGAAATTGACTTTTTTTGCCTGTTTCTTATTTGAATATTCCCATTCCACCTTAAATGGTTGGCAGCAGTTACTTCCTGGAACAGCAAATTTGAACAAGAAGCTTGTGAATAAAAAGTCAATTGAAGCCTCACGGTGAATGCTGGGCTTGATTTAACTGCAGACACTGTTAAAAGTGGTCAAACAGAGAGAGCTGTGTTCCTTCTGTTTTGCTACCATGAGGAAAATGCTCATTTCAGCTGGTATTTTCTCCAATAAGAATTGAGTTTAAGGGCTGAGTGAGGGCTTATTGATGCTTCTCTTGTTTCTAGCTTATGGGGGAAAATTTAGCTCTAATGCTTCACTGGACCGAAATAAAATACGCCAAGCGTAAGCTTATTGACAAATATTTGAGGGTGTTGCTGTATATTAGATTTATGGCAGGAAACTAATCCATTTACATGAAGACTAGCCTGCTGTGTAGTATTCCATCTGCAGTCAGACGTCTCTCCACGTTTCTTTCACTTTTGGTTTTGAGTCTCTCCAAGTCATATGGCTGAAGTCCAAGTCAAAGTCTGAGTCACTGGTGTTCAAGTCAGTGTCGAGTTGCAAGTCTTTCTTGATTTTGCCGAGTCGAGTCTCAAGTCAGCAGATTCATGACTTGAGTTGTACTTGAATCCCAGTCATATGACTTGAGTCCACACCTCTGATATCAATATCAGAGGATGTCAATAAAAGCAAGAATGACTTCCCCTACATAACAACCACCACCAAGTGCTTTGCATAGGCTTCAGTCTCTCCATTGATCCTCAGCAGTTTTAACTCCAGTCAAACTAAATAAGGTGTAGACAGAGGATCTCTTAGTTTTTCTAAATGCCCTGAGAATCACACTGCTCTGATCACTACACGCTACAGAGACATCAGGAGGGAGTGCTGGACCAAAGCACACACAGTATGTGATGTTAGGGAAGATCAAAACAGACCAAACACATCAGGATAGCAGGATTTTTGTCATTTTCGAGTTGGATGGTGCCACTTTATATTGTGTCTCATAACTGTGTAGTTACACATGAATAACATATGTAACAACACTAACTACTTATGATTTAGTCAATGTTACAGATGGATTACAGAAGTACAGCCTATGTAATAACACATGTGTATCAACTTCAGTTTTGCCTCATGTAATTACACAAATATATCTTTTTCATATGGTACAGATCAGAAGTCTTTTCCAGCAGTTAAAGGAAGTATGTTTTACATAATATTACATTTATGTTTTAGATAATTTCTGTGGAATAACTCTGTTGTAACAAGGTGACCTAATCACATCATATTAATTAATACCATTCTGTAATTACACTGTACCTACATAACTACACAGGAACTTCCCTGTTGTGCAGTGTTAAAGTTACACTTTAAAATAAGTGGACAGTTTCTGTGTAGTTGTATGTAGGTACTGTGTAATAATGGAGTAGTAATGTAGACACTGCTTTGTGGGTAATTCAACACATTTAATTAATGTCATAAGTTACATTTTAAGATAAAGGGACGTCTGCTGTATTGTCACATTACAGAATGGTTTAAAAAAAAATGCTGTTCCACTGTGATTATGAATGTAATTACATTTGTTATTAGCCTTGTGTAATTACATGAGAACAATCTGTTACAACTATTAAGATACACTTTACATGTATGTGTGATTACATAAGGTGAACTTCTGTAACATCTGTAACAGTGACTAAATCATCAGTAGTTACATTGTTGTTGCATATGTTGTTCACATGTAACTACACAGTTATTAGAGACACTTAATATAAAGTGGGACCAGTTGGATTACTTGCTGATGTTGATGTCACATTTCAATAATCTGTGATGTGTATCAGGTGTGTAAGTTAAACTATTCCAATGAAGGCTAGAATACAGCCATACACAGAGTCTGGGCTTCAGTGTATTACAATTAACTACTTGCCTGGTTCTGGTATCTTTTTGAGTTCCTCTGAACAGACTGAAGAACATAGCAATGCTGGAAAAAAATACAACAGTTAATTAAATGGGGTTTAACTTGTTTCACCCTAACAAAACAAAACAAAAGAAAAAAAAAAAATCACCCACTGCCCACAAGGTAAGCTCCCAGGATTTTTGGTAAATACAGTCAGCAATACATTAGCAGTATTTTAAAAGGGAATTCCATCAATTTTTCAAAATGTGTGTATAATTAAGTCATTGCAATGTAAAGAAAGTCGTTGAGAGTGGTGGGAGTGAAATGCTCCATTCTAGAGAAATTTTATGGGTCATCTGAAAGTTCCCTTCATAAAATGTTATTACATGAAACAGTATCCTGGTGCCGGACAGCCTGATGCCTTAGACATTGTTTTACAATAGTTTCGAGAATGTATTTTGCTTAAATATAATATTTTAATCTATTCATGGTGGAGGGGTACATGCAGGGCACTGTTGTTTCTTCCGCAAAATCTTCTACTTATATGTTAGATCCGATTCCTACAGGTTTACTCAAGGAAATTTTGCCAGAAACAAACAAGCCTACTCTGTCAATAATAAACTCCTCTCTTAGCCTTGGATACATCCCAAAAACTCTTAATCTAGCAGTAATTAGACCGCTGATTAAAAAAGCTAACCTCGATCCCTACGAACTATCAAATTACAGACCTATCTTGAATCTTCCCTTTATATCTAAGATCCTTGAAAAAGTGGTAGCAAAACAATTAAGCTCCTGTTTGTATAGGAATCATATACATGAAAAATTCCGTCTGGTTTTAGGCCACATCATAGTACAGAGACAGCACTAGTAAAAATTGTAAATGATCTATTATTATTCTCTGACCAAGGAAATGTGTCTTTTCTAGTCCTCCTCGATCTTAGTGCGGCATTTGACACAATAGACCACGCTATCTTACTAGATAGACTAGAAAACCTTGTAGGGGTAACAGGAATAGCTCTTTCCTGGTTCAGGTCCTACCTCAATGATCGCTATCAGTTTGTTAATATAAATGGTGAATCATCTGCCCTCGCACAAGTAAAGTATGGTGTTCCACAAGGCTCTGTTTTAGGACCTATATTATTCACATTATATATGCTACCACTGGGCACCATTATCAGTAAACACGGCATAAATTTCCATTGCCATGCCGAAGACACATACATACATATACATATATATATATATATATATATATATATATATATATATATCAAGCAAACCGGATGATAAAATTGAACTTAGCAAGATTGAGGACAGTGTAAAAGGCATAAAAGACTGGATGTCAAGTAACTTTCTTCTACTAAACTCGGATAAAACAGAGGTTCTGCTTCTTGGTCCAAAATCAGCTAGAAACACACTGTCTAACTTTACACTTACACTTAACAATCTCTCTGTTCATCAAGCTCATCTGTAAAAAATCTTGGTGTCATTATAGACCCTGATCTGTCCTTTGATGCACATATAACTAAGTGAACTTCTCTCCCACTATGAACCATCACGCCTACTTAGATCACAAGGTGCTGCTTTACTATTAGTACCTAGAATTAATAAAGTTACGTCAGGGGGGAGAGCCTTCTCATACAAAGCCCCCCAGCTTTGCAATAATCTTCCTGTTAATGTTCGGGACTCAGACACAGCCTCAGTGTTTAAGTCTAGGCTAAAAACTTACTTGTATAGTCAAGCCTTTGGTAATTAGTTTTCCCTGTCAGATCCAGACCTAATGGAGACTCTGCTGCTCTGCTAACACTGTAATCTGTGATCAGTCACCCATTACAGAACTGACTCTCGTGTGTTTTTTCTTTCTTTGCTGAGTTGAACAGCTGCCCATCTTGTGCGTCTGATGTTTTTGCCTGTTCTGCCTTGATCGGGTG